ATTTTCAAGCTCTTCACAGACCAGTCTGGTGACACGCTGTGACAGGAAACGGATCGTTTTCTTTCTAATTAATACTAAAGGGAGAGTTTTTGGGGTCCGTCAACGATTTTGTCAACAGTTAGATTCAGATATCAGTTAAATACAAATTCATGACTTTAAAGTTGGTGTGTGTGTGTGTGTGTGTGTGTGTGTGTGTGTGTGTGTGATGAGTTTTCTCATTATCTGTGGCTTTCTGGCTTTTATATCATTACGCACACAAACATGTTACTACAGTGTGACTCAGCCTGACCTCCCTCTCACTGGTGTGTGTCTGTCTTTGTGTGTGTGTGTGTGTGTGTGTCTTGGATAATCTTATTACCTGTGATCTGTGGCTCTTAAATTATCATTCACACACACACAGAGGCATTACTACAGTATGAGTCAACCCTCAGCTCTGCTTTGTGTGTGTGTGTGTGTGTGTGTGTGTTGTGGTGTTACGGTGCAGGATTACAGTGTATTAGTGTCGTCATCCGTCTACATCCAGCTATTGATCTGAGCTCCGTGTGTGTGTGTGGGCGTTTGGACTCGAATTACTGACGTTGTGAGGACAAGCCTGTGTGCAGTGGCACTGTGGTGACTTGACTGGTCCTCATAAAGATAGATAATCTATCGGTAGTCCGGTTTAAGGTTGTGGTCACATTTAGTTTAGGTTCTGGTCCGGTTAAAATACGTAGCGTACTTGTTCTTCTATGTTTGTGAGGACCAGAAAGTGAACTGATCTCAGAACGAGTAAAACTGTAGAACAATTTAAGGAAATATATAAATATATAGAACAGCTTGAAAACTGTACCAGTGAGCATCAGTTAGGGTGTTTGTTTGTCTGGGTTTCTAAAGAGGTAAATAAGGTCTGTAAACAGGAAACAGTCAAATATGAGATGTAAGAACATGCAGCTGGTTGATTTAAGTTTCATCCTCTGTGTGTTGTGTTTTTATCATGTGAGTATTATTTCCTCTTGTTTTTGCCCAGACAGATCAATAAAATGATAAAGACAATAACAATTTATTAATTATTCTTATTTATTTATTATTTATTTATTTCATTTGTATTTATTTTTTAATTAATTTTTTATAACGTGCACACATTTTTCTGCGCATATTTCCTTTTGTTTTAAAATGACATTATGTTTCCAGTTTTATTTTATTATTCTTTTATTGATTTATTTTGTAATTTGGAGCTCTCACT